AATTCATCTCCCTGGTTGGGTTCCCGCAGCCCCCCGGGGATTAGTTCAAGCTGCGAGAAACGACCCAACCAGCAAGAGGAGGGGGTTTACCCGGGATCGAACCGGGGACCACTCCCAAATGATCTGAACCCTAAGGGAGTATCCTACCACTGGACTATAAACCCATCGTCGCTAAAGATCCAGCAAATAAATCTCAGAGCTACGAGAGACTGAATAATATGCTTGCTCATAAAACACCAAGTGCTGTCCATAGGTTTGCAACATACCGTTGAGTTGAGAGTAAAATGCAAGCACAACGCAAGTCTAAAGGCTCATAATTTTCGCTGACTGAGTACCACCCCGATACATCATTAAGACAGCAGAATACCTCTGCGATGCGATTCTCAAATAAGATACCTACCCAGAGCCGAACCTGGGACTGTACCTGAGCACGGGCATATTCTATTGTTAAATGAGAAACCTGAAAAGGTCGAATACAGATGCCCGTACGGCGTACTGGTCACTATCACCTCGATAATACCGTCGTGTACTAGACATCAGTATCTCAGGATCATGTCGTAGGTATATTTGATGTATTATCGTGCTGCACTGCTTGACCGCACAAGTTGATCTTGATTAAGCAACATGCATGTGATGGCAATGGACACTGGCTTGGATCAATATTAGTTGCCGCCAAAAACTCTATTCAAAATAGGAACCCTCGCGAGTCGCATCTTCTACCCAACACTCATAGACGTATATACAATACTAAGTGGAACTCTTGAACCATTAGTTTGCCATGCTGCGTCAAACTACAAGTAAAAGGTTAATTACCCGATCAGGCAAGCCTTTTATCATGGCTCAACACACCATCTAAGGCGGCGAGGCCGCAAAGGCTTGCCATCACGGGTAAGGGGGTTTACCCGGAATCGAACCGGGGACCATACCTCAATGATTGCGAGATTCATTGAGGTATATCCTACCATTGGACCATAAACCCAGCTGACTGGGTTTGAGTGAATGATGAAGCCGTTCAAGATGGCCGATACGTCCTCACTTATACTGTCGTACTGGATCTCATCCGTTCTTTGGGCTGCAAAACAATCGGAATCGGGAATCCGGCACGAAGCCCAAAATGTGTACCCTGTACTACCAAAAAGGTATCCAATGTGTACGGAAGATCACGTTACGCGTCTAGATATGCTTCTGGCAAAGGTTTTTCTCGACCCATCAAGAAGTCCAAGATAGACATTGTACATCGCATCTGGAATAGATTGACCGCGGCATTGGTAATCATAGTAAACAATTATGGTACAATAATGTGCTCGAATTGGGAATGTGAGGGGCACTACTAAAAATCACAAACCCAATTATTCAGGTGCTCATCTTATCCTGTGGGCTGTCCTATTCGCTGTGGATCCAATCCAATATAAGTAAATCCCATCCCTTCGATATCCTTTGTTTTGCAAGAATCAAGAGGGTAGAAAAAGCGTCGATAAGGCACGCTACGAGGAAGCGCCCTGAAGAAAAGGTTCCGAGATCTCAGGGTCCAATTCCATGTCCGACTGAGCTCTTGACTTTTTGCGGCATTTTCTACTTCTTCGCAGTCACTCGCTACCGCTGCTCTGATACCCCTACAACCCTACTTTAACTGAATAGCCACAAGGATTCACGTTAGAAAAGGACGTGGTGTACGATTAGCTTCAATATTGTGATCAACCCGAACGATGGCACCGCTTGCCCAAAAATGCGTCGCTGTGACGATCCCAATGGTTTTCCTAACATGGATGTACAGCTACACGAGGAGTA